TTGCTGACCCCCGTTTGAATTGACCCCCGTCTCTTGAGTTAAGTCGGGCCTGTCCCCCTACAGTGGGATTTTCGACGAAAAATGCAAAACACCCCCAAAATAATAAAAAAATAATCCAAAAATAGTCTGGGTACTAATTTTTGGAGCATTTTTTGGCCATCTTGGAATATTTTTTGGGGTATTTTATAGTGTTCGTCGAAAATCCCCCTGTAGGGGGACACACCCGACTTAACTCTTGCGCCCCGACGGAGCGGGGCGCGCGCCTCTGCAGATTCGCGCCGCGACGGCCTCGGCGCTGTGGTTCCTGACGCCGCGCGGACTGCTCCGCGCTGGGCGACGGCGGCACTCCGACGGCGCAGATCGTTCGACGTCGGCCGACCCTTTATGTGCCCCTGCGCACCCAGCGTGAGCCGACCCCGGGCCCCGGATTTCAGGAAGGGGAAACACACACACACACAGACACAATGAATCGTCGACTGTCCAGGAAAAGTTGGGATTTCAGGAAGGGGAAACACACACGGACACAATGAATCGTCGACTGTCCAGGAAATGTTGGGAACACATGGGAAGTGGGGGGAAGACGAAGACCCAGAAAGGGTTCGAAGACGTGGGGCATCCTGTTACCTGTGCGCGTGTGTATCTGTGTGTGTGTCCCAGGGCCCCTCTCGGATTGGCCTGGCCGATGTCGGCGTCGGTGTCTGGTTGGCGTCGCCCGACCGTCGCTCTCACCCCGACCCAGTGGCGCGCCGCGGGTCAAAAAACAGAGAGCCGCGAGGCAGCACCTCGCGCCGGCCCCTCTCGGCGACGCCCTGGCCTCGGGCTGGCTACGGGTGCTTGCTGTCCCGCGCCTTGAGCACCTTGGTCATCCAGAAGCTCTCGAAGCCCACGAACGCCCCGGTGAAGGCCTTCTCGATCCTCTGCGGGAACCACGCGCCGACGCCGATGCTGGAAGGCAAGAGCCACGACGCCGAGGTGCGCCGTCGGAGTCCGTGGGGGCATCTCTTGGGCCAGCGCCGGACCACCCTCCCCACGCCCTTTCCCCCTGGCGCGCGGGGCGCGCCGGGGGCCTTCCTCTCCTCCCCAGGCGCCTCCCAGACGTCGACCCTCGAGCCTGGCTCTGGGCGTTTCGACTCCTGGGCGCGCGCGCGGGGCCGCCCGTGCAGGGAAAAGGAGGAGGAGGAGGAGGAGGAGGAGGAGGAGGAGCTCTGGAGGAGGAGGAGGAGGAGGAGCTCTGGAGGAGGAGGAGGAGGAGGAGGAGGAGGAGGAGGAGGAGGAGGAGGAGGAGGAGGAGGAGGAGGAGGGGGCGGCGCCGGGGGCCCCCGCCAGGGGTGTGGGCAGGGGGGGCTCGGCGCTGCCCGGAGAGATCCGCGCGGACCTCCGGGAGCGCACGCCGCGCAGAGGCTCCGGCCTTCCCGCTGCCGCCGCAGAAGCACGCCATCCACCCGAGGGGCTCCATGGCTGGCCTCTCTGCCGCTTGCCGGTGGCGGTGGGAGCGCGGCCGCGGGGCACGGGGGTGCCCTGAGCCTGCGCGGCTGCGGCGGCGACCGCGGGGGGAGGGGCGCCGCCTGCTCGCGCGGGCCGGGGCGAGGGGCCGCGGAGGGCAGGCGACAAGGGCGCCGGCTGCAAGAGTCAGGGGGAGTGGCTGCACGAAGGAGGAGCTCGAGGCGCACGAAGTCGGGTCCACGAGCCCAGAGAACAGGGGGGATCCTGGCTTGAGCTTCCTTCCTTCAGGGGCCTGAACGCTGGGAGGCCGCCAACCCACTCGAAGTCATGAGGGAGGCTTGGGCGGGACTGGAGGTGCAGATTTGCAGACGGGTCAACTCGTTTGGAATGCTTGCGTAACACTCTAATAGAGGAACGTGACGGAAGGTGAAGGGTGCGAACCCAATCAAGGAAACTTCAAGATTTCAGGCAGCCTTCTAACCTCAAGGAGAGGGAAGAGGTCCACTGCCCATATGCGGAAGGAAGAAGGAGATCCCGACAGTGAGAGGAGGGCGACAACAAAAAATACACCAGAGTAGAAACCCAATCAGTGGATGGTTTTCGCTGAGGAGATCGACGGGGAACCCGGGAGCCTGGGAACTCAAAACCCACCGAAATCTGCCCGGAACCAATAACTGGGAACCCGGGAGCCCGGAACCAGGAACCCAGCCTGCTACCAAAATCGGCGGGAAGCTTTCGCCAAATCTTTCAGCTTCAAGCACTGATTGGGGAAAAATGGGGATGCCCATCCTCAAGGGGCCCGAGGACACACACACACACATATATATATATATATATATATATATATATATCTATATATATATATATATATATAATATATATATATATATATGCACATATATATATATAACTATATATATAAATATATATATATATAATACACAAAAATAGCAGGATTCCCAATATTTTCCTATATTTTCTGGGTTTGGGTCTCCCCCCCCCACTTCCCATATTTTCCCATATCTTCCTGGGAGTCGACGATTACGTGTGTCTGTGTGATTTTTCCCTCCTGACATCCGACGATGCATCTTGTGCTCACCGCTCGGGCTTTCCGCTTTCGTTCTGTTTTCGTTTTCCCTCGCTTTTGTCTCGAATCTAGGGGGCAAGCAAACCTACCTCGCTTTTGACCACCCTCGCTTCCAAGAGGTACCAAGCGATGCCAAACTACGGCATGTACTGGTCAGGCCGCTTGCCAAGGAGGCGTGTGGTATGACTTGGTTTTGCCTGGAAGCGAAAGCGGGGTAGGTAATTCACGCTCTGAGAATCCGCCTTCACCGCAAAGCGAGGTCGAAACGAAACCGGCCCATGGAATCTCCCCAAACACCGTTTAGGTCCAGCCCTGGCGTGGGGATGCCCATCCGACGGTGCATCGCGTGCCCGCCGCCCAGGCTCCTTCCCCAGGGAGGGCCCGCCAGAGCAGGGCGGCCCGCCCTCCAAAAGGGCGTCCACGTGGCCTCTGGCCCGAGCAGCACTGAAGGGGCCCTGGGACACACACACACACACACACACACACGCACGCACGCACGCACGCACGCACGCACGCACGCACGCACGCACGCACGCACGCACGCACGCGCACGCGCACGCGCACGCGCACGCGCACGCGCACGCGCACACGCGCACACGCGCACGCGCACGCGCACGCGCACGCGCACGCGCACGCGCACGCGCACGCGCACGCGCACGCGCACGCGCACGCGCACGCGCACACGCGCACGCGCACGCGCACACGCACACGCACGCACACGCACACGCACACGCACACGCACACGCACACGCACACGCACACGCACACGCACACGCACACGCACACTCACACGCACACTCAACACGCACACGCACAAAAGAAAGAAAAGCGCACACTCACGCTCACGTGCCACGCGCACGCGCAACTACGCGCAACACGCGCAACACGCGCAACACGCGCAACACGCGCAACACGCGCAACACGCGCAACACGCGCAACACGCGCAACACGCGCAACACGCGCAACACGCGCAACACGCGCAACACGCGCAACACGCGCAACACGCGCAACACGCGCACACACGCACACACGCACACACGCACACACGCACACACGCACACACGCACACACGCACACACGCACACACGCACACACGCACACACGCACACACGCACACACGCACACACGCACACACGCACACACGCACACACGCACACACGCACACACGCACACACGCACACACGCACACACGCACACACGCACACACGCACACACGCACACACGCACACACGCACACACTCACACACGCACACACGCACACACGCACACACGCACACACGCACACACGCACACACGCACACACGCACACACGCACACACGCACACACGCACACACGCACACACGCACACACGCACACACGCACACACGCACACACGCACACACGCACACACGCACACACGCACACACGCACACACGCACACACGCACACACGCACACACGCACACACGCACACACGCACACACGCACACACGCACACACGCACACACGCACACACGCACACACGCACACACGCACACACGCACACA